TCCCGTGGATCTCCAGTACAACCGTTAGTCCCAACAGTGTTTGTTACACGCTCGACATAACAGTGGAAGCCACAGGATGTATCAGGAACCTTCTCAAAAGGAATGTTCGTTGGATCGTTATGAAGCAGTCTGCCACGAAAAGATCGCGTACGTTTAAGCTGTCTCAGATTAAAGATGGAACTCCCATCTGTCATTCGGCATAGTAGCAACCAACTATTGCCAAGACAGAATAGCGTAACACTTCATCCACCTTTACCTGACCGCAAGCCCTACAGCCGCCTGCATTAGACGAGCTCCACCTGTAACCAATCTAACGCAGGCATAAAACTTCACACTAATACCACCACCACACTGCACTGGCAGTGGCCACTGGCCTCAGGGCCATAACGGTACATTAACATGCACCTACAGTCACAGCAAGCCATAATTATTATGATTTAGCTATAGCAACATTTAGCTTTGAAATTTCACTGTGACATTGTAGCCCTCATACTTCCAGGCATGTAAACGATCTCTACTTAGCAAAAACCCCGCGGCCCAGTCAAATCTCTCTTTCTAACGACAGCAACAAATCCATGTACCTCCTCTTGAGGCGTCAACAGGTCTTCGACATTACCCTCCTGTCCATCTTCTCCGCGCTCTCAGCCCAAAGTACACTTTCAGGTCCTTTCAATAAAGCCATAAAACATGCTTACGTCCACCGCTCTCAAACAAACAAATTTTCAATCGTCCGTCTCACGACCAGCTCCTCAGAAATGTCCTAAAATCTGCCCCTGTGCCCATCGACCTGTTTGACCCTGTGAACCTCCACATCGCACCTAGTGATGCGTCATTCTTCCTCACCATGCATGCTATGCATGTCCGACTTCCACAGCCATATGGTCGGAGCCGCCGTATTATATTATGTGTCCGCAATCTGCATTTCCTCCCACTATACCTTAGTTAAGAAGTGAATGTTCCCCCCTTCCTTTCTCTTGACCTTTGACCCCCACTTCCTATCATCCCAACCTTTTCGATTACCCCCCCACGCTCCGAACTCGTCACGTACGTCAAGCGGTTAAGGATTGGCCCAACTGTGACGTATCCACGGCAGACACGCCTCGCCCACGCCATACGGCGACGGCTCATCATGCGATTCCTACAAGCTGCATCTGACTTGCACATGACTAAAAATAACATGCATAGGCAGTAGACTATGTAGGGCCTGTGTTCAATGATCTTGTCTAACCAATGCATCCATTATCGGTAATATATTATTAACATACTTATACACATAAATGATAAAACACTCCTGCAATATTTACTTTTTCTCAAACTCTTTTGGACAATGTATACTACTGCCGAAGTGTTGTGTGAAACAGTTCGACCCACATTTGTTGACAATCGTTAGACTGACCTGGCGAAAATCAATATATTCTAAATCGTTATTCCCACAGAACCATAAGTAATGTAGAAAAATAGAACCAAATCAAGCACTTTAGCTTGTCTTACACCTCTTCTTACACTACACAGTTATATGCCCACGATTAATCCATACCTACTATGTGATGTTAGCCTCCCGTCCACACGAGACCTCCTATTTATGAAAAACGTATTGCGCGCTAATTACCCGAATTCTGAGACACATACAGCGGGGGGTCCGCCTAAGGCCGGAGCTCCCGAGCGTTCTCACGCTGGCATTCGCCGGCTCCAATAAATCCGGACCCGGCTCGCCAGGCAAACCTAAATTGCCAACTAAGCAGCAGTACTATATAGTAACATATACAAGCAACCACAATTCGTCTAGAATAAACAAATAGCATGCCCCAAGACACCACAGACGCAATCAACAATACGTAGAGGACTGGTCCCTGCTTCTGGACAGTTTCCACTTCGTTACATCTGACTGTCTGAGCGACAGAACCAATCACTAAAACTCCGCTTGAGAAATAACCCCCGTACTCTCACGGACGTCGACACCAGACGAACAGCGCAGATCAAGCAGATCCAGTATTTCTCAAGCACCGCAAATCTAGTTCGAAAGTCTGGGGAACCCGCGTATTTATCAAATCAAATCACCGGACTTGTTTCAATAGCCTATTTACTGCACCCCGGCATTTTAGCCTCGTGTTGAACCGCACAATATACCAGAATTTCTCTGCTAGTCCACGGTGGTTCTGGTGCTGTGTGCGGCGGCTGTGGCCTGGCGGGGGGTGCTCCCAACCCCCTGTACACGCGCGCGCCGGGGCTATAGTCCCGTCGTGCTACGCAGTTGTCAAGGTCAGTTGTTTCCAATCCCATTCATTAAACAATGCCACAATCTGAAAATATATACTAACAGTTATAGACTCACCTTACCCCTAATTAGGCTCACCTATATCTACCCTCTTACGCTATAACCTCCACAATTTATGGCGCCTATACGCCACTCTGAAATATATTACTCACCATCCCCGATATGTAGAGCTATCGCTATTAATAACTTTGATTGGCCTCTCAACATCAGTCACTCACTCCTTGTCACAATGACGCTCTCGACAACAAGTCCACCTAATTCAAACCCCCGCAACACTACACACTCTGTTAGGAACCACCATGGCCTGTGATTATTCTATCACTTACTCATCCGCGGCGCTCGATGGCGGGCGCGGGCTGCTCTCCACCTCCTCTGCCGAGAACAGCTACGAGACTTCTAGCAGAAAATTGGCAGCAGAAATTCAAATAGTGAGTAAACTCAAACATTCCGATATGTGCTCCGCTGCACTGTTGCGGCTGTGAATCTATATGAGCCTTCTCCAAGTCACACCGCTTCTAACGCTCGTACCCTTAGAGAGCTGTGTCGATCTCATCTCACCGTAAGCCACTCTAAGTATGTATATGGTAAATACACCCACACCATTGGATATACTACATTCTCAAATTCCCTTTACCTTCTCACGACCAACTGCTCGTTCGTGATTTAAAATCTGTCATCTATTTCTAAAACAAGCTACATGTTCTACTATAGCGGTCCGACAACTATTCCCTTGCCTGTGACTCTAGTTCATGATCCGACGCTCACACTGGCAAAGACCCTTCCCTCCCCTATCCGGCTTCAAAACACCAAGTCCCTCTCAAACTCCGACCTGCGCTCCAAAACCTTCTGCGTACAATCTGCTAACATTGTATGACAACCTATTATTAGTTAGTTGGAACCTCACGTTGACTTCAATCATCATTATCTTCGACAAAACATCATCTCTTTTATAATGCATCTGTGCCTGATAATTTATAGATTGTTTCGCTATGTAAATGACAAAGCTCGACACACAGTGCAGACAATAATGATGCATGGTTTTGAACAATGATTGCATAAATCCTCACTCATGCCAGAATTCACCCTCTCTGAACTCCACCTAAATACATGTTCCCACGTCCTCTGCTTATTTCCCTTCTCAGACAGACAGACAATCTAGTAATTATCAACTTACTCTAAAAGCTAAGCACACATTGTCAATAGCAGTAATTGTCTATTGCATAGGAATATATGCACACTTATCTAGATTATTAAAATTTACATGTGCCGCACCAGTATTTATGAAAATACAAATTATCAGTGATAGCGTACAATAATTTATAGTTGTAGAATACGTATTCGGTTTCACATTTAAAATATTCATTTCAGCCTCAACTGCAAGCATGGGGCACTACTGGATAGTCCTCTATATTGGTTTAGACTCGTGTAGAGATGATCTATAGTCTGTTTCTTACTATACAATTCTTGCTGCTACCAGATGACGTTTCCGCTTCACTTATATTCACTTTCGACAAACCTGCTCAAGCCTGCACGTTGGGTTAGTGACCGCACCTGGGGGTACTCGGTATGCGCAGTCTAGTATCGCCATAACTCATAGTTGCCTGATCCAGTCTCTGTCGTGAGTGCCACAGCCCGGCCGCCTCCTGCCCACTCCCAATGGAAAGTGCTCGATCGAACCCACTTCACATGTCGCCGCTACAGATCAAAGCTCACCGCCCCTACCTTCTGGTTACTTCTGTAGTTTCCATGGGTATGAAACCTTCAAGACTTGCCGACATGGAGCTGGTCCATAAGCTGACTAGACAAGCCTGAAGACAGGAAGAGCTGCCATAATGACACATATATATCAAAGCAACCGACATGAAAAGAGAATAATCGATATATATACTTAGAGCCCTATCACTGACTAATATAGCATCCACGCTCAAGCAGTCGTAAACCCATTCTACCGAGAGAATTAATTAATAACTGATCGGGATAACGAAAGTACACCACCGCAACACGACTGTGTATTACATGTATTAGCCTGTAAATAAAGACAATCAGTTTCCGCGTATACTTAAACGGTTCACTCTACAGTTCTAATATTCATTCTTGCTTTCTATCTCCCTGGTGCACGCAACACAGTTACGTCCCGCTTCCACCAAGCAGCAAAGGCGTGATCCCAAAATAATAGCTGCTTGCAAAACGCCACATGCTATAATTTCACCGCCGCGTAGCCGCTACCCCCTAGGGCCATCCACGTAAGCTAGTAAACCCAACTAAAACACACACAATCAAATCACATTTCTATTAGATCACTAAACCTGAATTTTACCTGCTCTCTTCGTCGAGGAACAAATCCCTGCAAGTTGTTGGAGTGAAAGGCATCTGACCGTTAGCCAAAAGGAGGAGCTTAAATCTGTGCCTCTCACAAGGAAACAGCTCCATCCTGCTCGCCTCTAAACCTTGCCCTAAACATTAAAATATCACATACACGCATGCCACGACCGGCACGCACACCACACACACAGACACACGCCACACGCCACACGTCACACTCACACGCACACGCACACGCACACGCACCACGCCACCGCGCACACACACACACACACACGACACTTCTGTGAAATGGTGCAAAATTGTCTGCAGGTATGAATATGCGATTAAATGCAGAGTAGAATTTAATGTGTGCACAGAAAATTGGAACGCTCATAAAAGGTGTCATCAATTCTGATTTTACCTGATACGTTCCAATACAGGAGATTCCCGTGCACAGAGAATTTCTACTGCAGTTTGCAGGATATTGCTTATATAGGTCTTGAGCAAGGTTATCCCATGAGTGGCACTCCTGGTGATCAACTGGCTTGAGAGTAGACACTAAAATATTCAACATCAAAGATTCCCATTACAGATCATCAGATGCACGCACGCACACATGGACACACACGTGCACACACACACAAATGCACATTCACACGCGCGCACACACACACACACACACACACACACAAACACGCACGCACACACACACACACACACACGCACAGCAATTAAAGGGATACTTGACTCTAGGTTCTAAGGTTATTTTCAGTTGATTTAGGTTAAAATTACGCTTCATAAAAAGTTTGGCCCAAAGAGAGAGAACATGGGTCCCAATAAAACCAATGTGCCTAACCCTAACCCTAATCCTAACCCTGGCCCTAACGGCCCAAAGAGAGAGAACATGGGTCCCAATAAAACCAATGTGCCTAACCCTAACCCTAATCCTAACCCTAATCCTAACCCTAACCATAACCCTAACCTATTATATTGATATAATATTATATTTATGTTGATGTAAATGACATTGGTTTTATTGGGACCCATGTTCTCTATCCTTGAACCAAAAGTTTTATGGTTCAATATTTATTAGAAATATTACAAAAAATGTTTTACAGCGGACGGCTATACCGATGCTTACAACAACGGTGGCGCCACTGGCAGCGCACCCATTAAAAAGTTGCACAAAGCAACGTTTCAGCTGCAGGCTACAGACCGAGGGTGTTTCTTATTTATTAATTTAAGAGCAATATCCAGGGTTTCATCTGAGGGAAAATTAGACAAAGGAGGTAAAGGCCAGTTTAGGAAAAAAAACGTCCATGATGGATTCAAATACAGGATGTATTGATATACTTATATGTATCATAATATACTCTCAAATTCTAGAGTAAAGTATTCCTTTAATTAAGGTACAACCTGCGTGTATGCATACATTGCATATATGATCATTGGGTTCTGAAAGGGTAAAGTGTGAGCTAATGTGTTCATTCTAGTACTGGTACGTAGTATATAGTACTGCTGATAGGGTCTATGTCCCCCAGGGTACTGCTGGAACGTACCCTGGTACTAAATACTACTATTTAATATGCCGGACCGTACCTCGCCTACTCCACTAATGAGTCTAGGGAGTCGCCTACGCCTACTCCCTAACCCTAACTCTAACCCTAACACTAACCCTAACCCTAACCATATCAGCTAGATAGTTACCAGGGTACGTTCCGGCAGTACCCTGGGGGACATAGACCCTATCAGCTATAGTACTAGTGACTGTAGCTCTAGTACTAGCCCTTCGATCCGCTGCAGGGGCGCTCCGCTCCTGCGGTGGAGCGAAGGGCTATATAGTACTAGAGCTATAGTGACTGCAAATATAACATGCGTCTAAACAGAAGAATTGCTCTGACCTGTGATTGGAGGATAAAAATAGAATTTGTGACGTTTCGTTTCACAGGGCATAGCCGCGCGTGCATATTTGCTAAGTAATTTGACTAATCGCGCTTCAATAGACTCAAAATTCACAGAGATTAAACCTAAGACATGTGTCTATAATAGCTAGAATTTATAGAAATGTACCGTACCGGTACCTCAAATCGTTCGCTCCATATGATACTGATAGTGATAGTTAGTACACGTTCCTACCGGTCACAGCATAAGAGCATATGCGGCGGGAGTGGGCAGGGTCTATTTTTGCTCATAGGGTCTATGTCCTCCAGGGTACTGCCGGAACGTACCCTGGTCACTATTTGATATGGTTAGGGTTAGGATTAGGGTTAGGGTTAGGTTTCGGGTTAGGGTTAGGGAGTAGACGTAGGCGACTCCCTAGGCTCGTTAGTGGAGTAGGCGAGGTACGGTCCGGCATATTAGATAGTACCAGGGTACGTTCCGGTATACCGGACCGTATCCAGGGTACGTTCCGGTACACCGGACCGTACCCAGTGTACGTTCCGGCAGTATTCCAGGGGACATAGACCCTCTCAGCTCTATTTTTATCCTCCGATCACAGGTCGGAGGAATTCCTCTGTTTAGACGCATGTCAAATATACATATGTGTGTATATTTTTATATTCAAATATACAAATATAAATATACAGTAAATTGTGGCTAGACGGTGTGTGAAACTCCTACTTTTTATACTTACAATCGTGTAAACGATGTGTAATGAATGATTACTGTACATGTAACATAGTGTTTTGCCACAGCTATTTTACGTATCTATGTAGTAGGGCCTATGTACCTGTAACCTATCACATTTTACACCTGGACAAACGAAACGTAAAGTTAAACATACGGCCACAGTTAGTAGGCCTACTAGGTAGTAGTACTAGTAAGGAGTAGTTCACTAGTAACTACAGTAAAAACCCGCGTATAAGAACATAGATTTTAAGAACATTGTTAGGCTAAAATTTCCATTTAGACCCCTTTACATAAGAACCTGTTTTAGGCTAAGATTTAAAGTAGGTTCTTAATTTTCCCTGCAGATGAAGACTTAAAAAGAAACACAGGTAAAAATAAAAAAGACGAGCTCAACAATATCGATGCAATAACAATGCCAATGCCAATGCAATGCTCACAATAACAATGCAGCACCCTGGCATTGTTATTGAGACACAGTACTGCATTATTTACATATACAGTAAAAACCCGCATAAAAGAACACGTCGATTAAGAACACTCAAGCTGAAATGCGGTCAAAAAATTGCATATACATAAGAACACATTCAGCCTGAAAAATAAAAATTTATTGTGGTTAAAATCAATAGTTAATGTGTTACGTGTAAGCATGATTGTACATGTATTTGTATTGACATCTCAACCATAAAAAAACAAACATGTGCAACAACTAAACTCTCCATATAATGCCTTACACATAAACACTACCTGTACTGGTAACACATGCATCACAGTCACTAAGCCCGCGCGTAGCGGCGGTTTCAGCTAGTACATATTAAAAGTAGAACAATTAAGAACCTATTTAAAACCTTTTGAGCCTAATTTTTCAGTAACACCATTTATATAAAGAACATGTTTGAGGCTAACTTGGAAAAATCTATGTTCTTATACGCGGGTTTTTACTGTAGTTGACGTCGTCGGTCAAACTAACACTAACCTGTACTGAGCGAAGCACATACACAAATCAACACAGCGACGTTACAAAAATATCGCTAATTCCAACCATCATGGAATTTTATATCACAAAATTCTCTTTGCATTTCACATTCGCTACGAACGTCGACGTTCTAGTTTTGAACGAGAATCACAAGAGTTTATATCCTCTTACAGCTGAGCTCCGGTTACTCATGATCAGTTACCGCTCGATCGCAAGAGCTTTAGATACAAGGAGATGAATGTAATTGGTTATGTACTTGTGAGCCTCTAGCGCCATTTTAGATCGAAGTTTTACGCACCATCCTCGGATTTTTCATGTAACAGCTAGACAAGAGCGAGGCATTTAAATAATTTACGTGGAAAAACCACGTCCTGAACCTGTCGTTCATGAAAACCTGGAGCCATAAAGCTGTCTTTCACATAAATGAATCCGCAGCGTTATGTAACTGCGGCAGCACAATATTAGTATTGAAACAATTCTGACCCAAGCGTTCATGAAATCCAGGAGCCGAGCAGCTGTCCTCTACCTGTAAGGATCACGAGCATATTACAAGTGCTGCTGCTGTGCAATGTACAGATTGTGTACAATATTTGAATTAAACCAATTAATCCTGATCCAGCCAATCTGAATGCGTGTGTATGTATGCGTCTGTGTTTGTATGCGTGTTTGTCTGTGTGTGCCTAGTGTGTTGCGTGCCTCCATGTGTGCGTGGCGTGCGTGCGTGCGTGCGTTCGTGCGTGCATGTGCGTGCGTGTGCGCAACGTTTTTTCGTGCGCTTGTGCGTGCGTGTGCGTGTGCGCGCGACGTGGCGCTTGTGCATGCGTGCGTGTGTGCGGGCAGGGGCGCAAATCCAGGGGGGACAGGGGACATGTCCCCCCCACGAATTTTTAGAGTGGGGACATCATATCAAATGTCCCCCCCACGATTTTGGATTACCATGATTTTGTGTGTAAGTATGCGTGTGTGTGTGTGTGTGGTGTGTGTGTGTGTGCGCGCGGCGGTGTGTGCGCGCGGCGTGTGTGTGTATGTGTTTGTGAAGTGAGAACCAGCCGCGCTGGAAGTGGGGGGGGCAGAGGGGGCAGCCGCCCCTTTAATTCAAAAAGTGGGGGGGGGGGGTAAAACCAAAAAGCCCCCCCCAAAGAAGAGTGGGAAGAAAAAAGAAAATGTATGAGCTAAGACTTGTTAATTCTACAGTTCAAAAACAAATTTATACATCATTTTAAGTTTTCGCTGCGCGCTCGCGTGATTGACGCTCACGTCGCACACACGCGCTCACGCACCCAACGCCGCACACACCGCGTTCATGCACACACGCCGGACATACCCGCTCACGCACACACGTCACACACACGCGCTCACGCACACACGCCGCAACATACGCGCTCACGCACACACGCGCTCACGCACACACGTCGCACACACGCGCTCACGCACACACGCGCTCAAGCACACACGTCACACACACACGCTCACGCACCCACGTCGCACACACGCGCTCAGGCACACACGTCACAACACAACGCCGCTCACGCACCCACGTCGCACACACGCGCTCACGCACACACGCGTCACGCACACACGCGCTCACGGACACACGTCGCACACACGCGCACACGCGCTCAAGCACACACGCCGCACACACCGCGCTCACGCACGTGCAGCCGCAGCACACACGTCGCACCACGCGCACACGCACCGCACGAGCCCGCGCTCGCGCTACGCACACACGTCACACACACGCGCTCACGCACACGATCACACATACGCGCTCACGCACCCACGTCGACATTACGCGCTCACGCACACAACGTCGCACACACGCGCTCACGACAGTCACACCGCGTCAGCGTACACGCGCCGCACATACGCGCTCACGCACACATGCGCTCACGCACACACGTCACACACACGCCGTCACGCACTCACGCACACACGTCCGCACACACGCGCTCACGCACACACGTCGGCCACACGCGCTCACGCACCCACGTCGCACACACGCGCTCACGCACACACGGCACACACACGCGCTCACGCACACACGTCGCACATACGCGCACACACACACACGCGCCTCACGCACACACGTCGCACACACGCGCACACACACACACACGCGCTCACGCCACACACGTCGCAACACACGCGCTCACGCACACACGCGCTTACGCACACACGTTCGCACACACGCGTTCACGCACACACGCGCTCGCGCACGCCACGTCGCCACACAACGCGCTCACGTACACACGTCGCACACACGCGCTCACGCACACACGTCACACACGCGCGCTCACGCACACACGTCACACACACGCGCTCACGCACAACGTCACACACACGCGCTCACGCACACACGTCGACACACACGTTCACGCGCTCACGCACACACGTCGCACACACGCGCCACGCACACACGTCGCACACACGCCGCTCACGCCACACGTCACACACACGCGCTCACGCACCCAGCGTCGCAAACACGCGCACACGCGCTCACGCACACACGTCACAACACGCGCTCACGCAACCACGTCGCACACAGCGCGCTCACGCACACCGCCCCCACACGCCGCACACACGCGCTCACGCACACAGGCCGCACACACGCGCTCACGCAACCAGTCGCACACACGCTGCCTCACGCACACACGATAAAAAAATTCGTGAGCCCCCTTCGGTCTTTGCCCCCCCCCCTCCAATCGAAAACTGCTTTGCGCGCGCGCTGGTGAGAACCTTTTTATTGTGTGTGATAGTGCGTCAACGATTGGCTCCTTTCCCTTTTTGCTGTTGCCAGTTTTCTTTTATTCAATGTGGCATTGAGAGCATAATAATGATCATGCACAACTTGAGAAAAATGTGTCTTGATAAATTTAGTACCGTTTCTTTTTTAACACGTTTTTTTTTCTTATATTAAATAATTCTTATGCAGAAATCATCAAGAGAAAGTATGTTTATGAAGTTTAGGAGATAATCACTCACATTAGACACGGATTCAAGGATTAAGCTGGAAACACAAGTTATATTCACGCAAAGAGGACACTGAGTAACTGAGCAACGGTTTTAATAATGTAATTTTCGTTGCAAATTGATGATATATGTACACGCATATATGATATGACTGGACCAACAATAATAACGGACCAATATATTTTGTGAATAGCCTCAACACCAAATGATTGGTTTTTTGCTTTTTGTTTTCTTGATTTATGACTGCATGTGTACACCCTTTCGTAATCTTATCACAAACAAATGCATGTTTGTGTGTGTGTGTGTGTGTGTGTGTGTGTGTGTGTGTGTGTGTGTGTGTGTGTGTGTGTGTGTTGTGTGTGCGTGAGCGCGTGTGTGCGGCGTGTGTGCTGACGCGCGTGTGTCCGGACTCCCCCCCCACTCGCGCAGAAAACGCATCTGAGGGGGGTCTAATTTCAAAAAACTAGACACCCCCCCCCCTTCGCGTGCTCGCTACTGGTGTCCCCCCACATTTCAAAATGAATCTGCGCGCCTGTGGGCGGGGTTTTTTTCCCCCCCCGTGGCGTTTGTTCGTGCGTGTGCGTGTGTGCGGACGTGCGCTTGTGCGTGCGTGTGTGCGGACGTGCGCTTGTGCGTGCGCGTGCGTGTGCGCGGACGTGCGCTTGTGCGCGCGTGTGTGCGTGTGCGCGGACGTGCGCTTGTGCGTGCATGTGCGCGGACGTGCGCTTGTGCGTGCGTTTGCGTGTGCGCGGACGTGCGCTTGTGCGCAGGCGACAGATATCCACATCCAAGTGTGGCCTTAAGCCACCGGGGGCCTAGGGCCCCGCTGGCGCAATAATACACCGTGCAAGTGATGCAGCCTACTTTCCTTTGCTGGAGGCGGTATATAGCTTACAACAAAGGATTACCATGCACACACTACTATATAGGAGGCCGTAGGCCCCTTTCATACACAATACTATATATGTGGCCTCGGTGGGCCGCCAGCATACACTATACTACAATACTATATAGATGGCATTAGGCCACCGGCCGTCACATAATATTATAATACTATATATGTGGTCTTGGGCCCCCAGCATACACTATTATTACAAGTCTATATATAGGTGGCGTTAGTCCCCCGTCATATACAATACTATATATGTGGTCTTGGGCCCCCATACACTATTCTATTATTACAATACTATATAGGTGGCATTAGGCCCCGTCATACAAATACTATATATGTGGCCTTGGGCCCCATCATACACTATTCTATTATTATAATACTATATAGGTGGCATTAGGCCCCGTCATACAAATACTATATATGTGGCCTTGGGCCCCATCATACACTATTCTATTATTACAATACAGTATGAATACTATCAAGAGCTAATAATAGGTATTATTAGCTCTTGATACTATATAGGTGGCCTTAGGCCCCATCATACACTATTCTATCATTACAATACTATATAGGTGGCCTTAGTCCCCTATCATACAAGTACTATATAGGTGGCCTTGGGCCCCCAGAAAACACTATTATTACAATACTATATATAGGTGGCCTTAGGCCCCCGTCATACAAATATAACGCCGGAAACACTATAACGTGCTTAGCGCTTCGGATCAACACCTCCTTTCGGCAAGGCTTCTCTATCCCGTCTCATCTGGCTGGCGCTTGTCTTGTTTTTTCCTATTTAATGCTATATCTATGCCTATGGGTAATAAAATCGGCATACACCATGGTAACTTGTTTTAGCATTACTAGTCTAAAATACGTAAACAAACAGAACCATTTTCGGTCGCGGAAGGGTTATTATCGGAGTGAGCTGACGGGGGCTGGAAGCCACCGGCGGGGGACGAGGTGGCCTAAAGCGAAGAATAAAGGCCTTGCATGAGGATATCTGTCGCTTGCGCTGCGTATACCAACCAGTACACAACCTGGCTACGTCAAGGAGCTAAATATAGCTAGCTAAATATATTTAAATATAAATATATTTAGCTCCTTGGGCTACGTTAGTGTTTTAGCGCATGCGCATTATCTCACCAGTGGATCGAGTTATATTTTGTGATGAATATGCATTTAAAATGGTTAAAGTTATTACGTCACCGTAAATAGTAAAAATTAGAAAAATATTTCCACTTTTTCACAAAAT